TTGATGTGGGCTTGGTGGTGCCTGCAAAGGATTTTGCCCAGACTGCAGTCTGCTTGTTAGTGCCTATGAGGTCTTTCTCCTCTCCCTAAATTTCATGGATTTGCAGGAATTTCATTGTCACTGAGCTCTCTTATCTCTTTACCAAATTGCATGCAAAATTAGTGAACAAATTCAAAAGACCTTGGGGTAGACAGAGGGAAGAAAGAGATGGAAAGACAAAAATGCATGCACATTTACTCTCTCTTTCTTTCCAGAGAGGAAAGATCACACACTTTCTTTTTTTGTTTTGCTTCCACAAAGTTATGCTACAGGGCAGATTGCCACAGGCTAGTCCATGTGGGAATTCTTGTCCTTTTCAGTATGCCCTTAACACAGCGATATGAAGGCACAAAATCACCATTCATCTTGCTTTCCAGTACACTCCTTTTCCTGAGGCCCATGGTGCCAACTCTGCCAGACATAACCCTAGATGAAGCAAACAACTGTTCTGACCTGGTACCGTAATTCCTTTGTCCTGGCCCCCATGTAACATTTATGTCTGTGACCCGATTTGCAAATCCAGCCGATGATATAGGGCAGGACAGAGAAGATGGAACAGCATGTTATGACCTCTGAGTGGTATTTCTCTTCACGTATTGACTGAGTTGAGAAAGTGAGTTCTAGTGTCACGCTCTCCATGATACTAAAGCAGAAATCAAAGCTAGCATAGGAAAAGGCCAAGTGAAAGATGTGTTTGTGCACTGCAAATAGCAGCATCATCAGCCAGTGCGTTCAGTGGGAAACATCTAGCTGCCCATGTTGGGAAGTTGTTGAGGACAGAATCTGGAAGTCTTACTTAATACTGCACATATTCAATTGGTCTTTTCTACACTTAAGGATGAACACAATGTGCGCCCACACAGTGCACGGACTGATGTCTGAAATACCAGTCATTACATCCACTGGGTTGACAAAAGATATTTTGGCGTTTGCTTGGAAGGCATTAGCTGTCCGCTTTACACGCCCAGGCAGGGATGCTGGCCCAGTCGGGAAGAAGACATACAGGACTCCAGTGAGACTCCTGAGCTCTGACCCCACGTATCATTAAATGTATTTTACTTGCCATCATCTTTCACCAAACTCCCCAAACCTTCCATGTAAAATCAATACCAAAAGTCCTTAGGGTTTCTTGACAGCAACCTCTGTCTTGATAACAACCCCAAATGAGAGCGAGCTTTTTTGATCTGTCTTTGTTTCACTGCCTGACAAGGTTGGCTTTTTTTTCTCTGCCTGGAAAGTGAGAGCAGCACTGTAAATGCCATTCATTCATTTCTCCTTTTGAAAGAAGTTCAGCACTATTTCTTAACAATGGTCAAGGCCTGGATACACACCATCTGCCTGCAGGCTCATTCCAGAACCACCTCTGTTGTCACAATTCCTTGCTCTCAGCTGAATGGAACTTTCTGATCTACCTTATTCCTTCCATTTACAGTGGTGGGAATCAGAAGAATCACAGAATAGTTAGGGTTGGAAAGGACCTTAAGATCACCCAGTTCCAAGCCCTCTCCCATGGGCTGGGACATCTCACACTAGACCATGTCGCCCAAGGCTCTGGCCTTGAACACTGCCAGGGATGGAGCGTTCGCAACTTCTTTGGGCAGCCTGTGCCAGCGCCTCACCACCCTTACAGTAAAGCACTTCTTCCGTATATCCTGTGAGAGGCCGGACTCGGGGCCGCCGCTCAGCCGCGGCAGGTACCGGCAGTGCCGGCGCCGGGGGAGCCGCTTCCCCAGCGCCCTTTCGCTGTACCCGCCCCTGCTGCGGTCCTGGGGCGCGGCTGCGCGCACCGTCTCAGGCCCGGCACGGCCGCCGGGCAGTCGGGGAGTCCGGTGGGTCGCGCCCCGTAGCAGCAGGTCTGTGAAGCGACGTTGGCGCCTCGCCCCTGGCACCGCACCGGGCAGAAGCGTTAACGGCAGCGGCACGGCCCCGCCGCCGCCCCGGCACCCGGGGCACCACCCCCTACGGGTCGGGGCCAGGCTGGGGCGCGGTTACAGCCCGACACTCCGAGGTTCTGTGCTCCCGGAGCCTTGCAGCCGAGCTTCTGAACGGCCCTGTCTGTGCACCCCGCTGGCAGGCAGTTCCTGTTCACCACTGGGGCACATCCATTTGGAAGATACCTCTCTTAGCTTGGCCATTCACCCTCTGAGCAATCAGTCACTGTATTTGGTACATAAAAATGAAATAAATTGCTAATAAATTAATTTTCCAAACCGAGGAAGTGTGCAGCAGCTTGTGCTGTCACCTGGACTTTGTCACTGGCCACCCTGTCCCCTTTTGCCTCTCCCACAGCCCTCTTCTCCATTCCTAACATTACAGCCTAAAAACCAAACTCCAGATCCTGACCCTGCACAGTTATTCCTCGCACTGTTCATCACCCAGCACAAACTGACTGTTCTCCTCACTAAAACCTGCATGTTCAGATTTCATTAGTGACTAGAAAGAATGTCATTCCTGACAAGAAACAGAATTGCCGAGCAGCTGTATGAGCCAGAGCTGTTTTGAACATTCTGAACTGGAAAAATGTCATCATCAGAGGAAGGTCTTGTCCATCTGTTATACTTTTTATGAAAGGTGAATCTAGTGGAGGGGATAAACAAAGCCCAAGAGAAGTACACTTTTTTTTGGACAATCTGGACCAAATCTTCTGCTGAGATCACTGGACAATCCCAAGAGATGACTTGCAGAGGCTGTGTTTTGTCTCCACTGCTGCCTTCCCTGCAGCCACCAACTGGTAGACAGGAGTCACTCTGCAGCAAACCTTTGATTTCATTTTGCTCAGGGTGAGCTCACTGAAGGCAAACCCAGTGACCCACTTGCAGTGAGCCTCCAGCAAATCTCTCTGCACTGTAACCAGTCTCGCTCACATCATGCCTGACTCTGGGTCCCACCACACGCAGCGCTGCACTGCGGGGAGAGCACTGCTGCTCTGGGGGGAAAACAAGGTGCCCTGGGACAGGAGGGACAAGTGGAGCCCTGCTGGAGCACCAGAACCCATGGAGCAGTCCTGGGGACCCAGTGGCAGCTCTGTTGTGTCACAAAGCCCATGCAGTTCTGGAAGCCCCAGGGGTGCCCAGAGCAACCCAGGGTGCTGGACAGCCTGCAGTGGCTGCCTGAGCCCCGGGCAGCATGGAGTTCCTGGGGACCACACAGCTAGCCAGTTACTGTGGCCCCAAGAAAAGCTGCCTGCTCCCAGATATAGCTCCCACCACCACCACCAAGGACACCTACCAGGCCTACTACCTTCCAGGCTACCGCCACCTGAGCAGCTGGCGGCCTGGTCTGTTCCACAAGGTGGTTTCTGTCCCTCCCAATGGTGACAATGGGCAATTTAAACCCAGCAGGCGGCCACCCACTGTCCTGCCTGGGTTGTGCTCCAGCCTGCATGCCCGCTACAGCACTCGTGACTGGCACCACTCTAACATGGTCCAGCTAAAAGGCTCTGAAGCCTCCAGGTACTGTGCTGGTAGAATGAACGTGGATTCAGTAAGACTGATGCAAGAGAAGGATCAACTGACTTACCAGATGCAAGAAGACAGCCAAAGAAATCTGGTAGAGAGGATCTCCGACATTGATTACTGGCGATCTGAGCTCATGTATGAGCTAGAGCGTCTGCTGAAAGAGAAACAAGCCTTGGAAACAACAAAGAAGCGTCTGGAATGTGCTGTGGATGAACTGCAAGGACCACTGAAGGTAGGTTTAACATTCCTAGTTATCGCCTGACTGCAAGATGAAAACTGCTTTATCTCTGTTGAATACTAGTGTGACTTTTACTGTTAGCATCACGACAGATTTTGGTGAAACATACTCAGCAAGAAAGAAATTTGGCCACTATGGGCTTCATATATGAAAGTCAACACAGGAACCTTATCAGGGCATTTCTGTGCTCTCTTCGCCTTCCTTTCTGCTTGAGGTGCCCAGAGGGTAAGTCTCCTTCAGACCCTGGCCAGTCAGCTCAGTACATTACAGCAGAGTAGAAAATGGCCCTGTAAGCTGCAATATCCCAGTATTCTTAACTAGCTCTGAATTTTATGCTCTTACTTGGTGAAAATAGTATTTTAACCCTAGAGAGCGTATAATTTGTGTTACATTCTGCAGTTCTCCAGAATCTTAAAGGCAAATTAATTGCAACAGAAAAAAAACACAGTAATGTAAGAGTTAGTGAACGATGCTACCAATAACTAGAGTTAAAGTTTTCTCATAAACATCTGGAATACTGCTGATGGAGACATGTCTATTGTGTTCCTATGCAAGTACAAATAGAAAACCAAATTCGGTATTCAACAATGACTTGTTTAGTTGTCTGTATCTGTACTGACTCAAAGTGTTGGGCTGAGGATGCTTTCTATGCAGGGAACATTTTCTGCTGAAATGATTTGTGCCAGCTAATGCTGTTTCATTTATTAGTATGGTTCTAAACAAGTGCATGGGACCTGTGGCAGGTTAACTGAATTCTCTATTGCCTGGTTATGCAGTCATTCTCTTGTACAGGTATGCAACTTCCGAAGCTTGGCATTGGGTAAGGCAGGATGAGGGGAGATAAGATGAAAGTATTTTTGCCCACAACCAGAAGTGGTGGTTTTGACAGCAGTCACAACCAAGCTCAGTCATGTTGAGGTGTAGACCTTGCTGCACATTAATAAGCAACTTATCAAATGGCAGCTATGATGGCAGCTAATCCTTAAAAGCATGTATTGACAGCTTAAGTAGGAAAGAGCCACTAAGATGGATCGTTTGAGCCACCTCCTATTCTGTTCCACCCTTAAGACATGGTCTTTACTTGACATGTCAGCTCAGTGGCCCCTGCAAACAAGGTTCAAGGTTTCACTCCATAATGCAATATTGAGCCTACTGCAAATGTTCTTTGCTTGCAGATAGCCATAGAATGCTTGTACCACCGTGAGAAGAGAAAGGGTATAGACTTAGTTCATGACAACGTGGAAAAGAACCTCATAAAGGTAAGATCAGACTTACTAATTTATTTTTCCAACTGTGGAAGTAACTAAAATCCAACCAAATATTTATCAGGGTAAAAGTATTGTGATAATTTCTTCCTTTCATTCATTTGGAAGACTGGGGAGGGGGAAGACGAAGAAACTAGGTAAAACTGTACCTACTGGGGATGGTCAATGTTCTGTTCATCCTTCTGGGAGCAAAAGGAACAGCCCAGCATTCTATGAGGTCTTGTCCAGTTCTGTCTTCCCTGATCCTATAAAAAACAAGGTAAAAACATTACTCAAGATTGTTTTCTGGGCCATGGTCTATAAAATAGCAGAAGTTCTTTGGTCTTACAATATAAAATGCTGTTTTACTGCCTTGATATATATATATATATATATATATATATATATATAATATATATAGTGTTACTGAACAAAGAAAATGAGACGGATAGTAGTGATTGCTTTTAAACAAGAAAAAATAAATCACATAACATTTTGCTAGCATATTTCAAAGAAGTTATACTGGATGTGTGTGAGGGCAAAAATAATAGAAAAGAACATTATGGGACAGTGGCATTTCTTCAAGCACTTTTCTGGATACAGAAGAATGTGCAGACTACTGGGATAACCGAGATGCATCTGCTGAGCCTACAACCTGCAACTTGAACTTTTAGTTTTAATGAAGAATCAAGGGTTAATATACATTAGCTTAAGTATTTCAGCACTTAATTTAGCCTGGGAATTCAAGGTAGGATAAAATACTGCTAAATGTTTCTCATGAACAGATGAAAACCCTTTTGTTTCAAAAAGAAAAATAAAGGCTGTTTGCCAGATCTCCCCAGGTGCTCCTGTGACCAGTGGAGTGAGCTAGACAGTGACAAGAAAGGCCAACAGAGGCTCATTTCGTAGTAACAGGAAAGCCAGTTCCAAAAGTTACTGTCAGTCCTACACATTCTATGCAAGTACAGAGACAGAGCCTGCAGTTTTAAATCTGGGCTGTCTTAATGACTTCAAAATAAAAAAAACCCACTTTATTCCCCATTTCAAAACTCACAAAACTGTACACACTTAGTGAAAGGATATGTTGGGCTAAAGCAGAGGTTTTTTTTAAAAGGAAAGATGCTGGAACACCGTAATGTCATTTGAGGGACCATAATTACCATGTTTGCCGTTTTCATATTGAGTACTTTACATTCATTTTAAGCTGAGTGGAACCAGGCTTGGAGTTTCTTCAACTAACACTTATAGTTTCGAAGAATATTACAATATACTTCCTCAGGGAGCCTGAAATTAGATTTTCAACCTACTCCACCATCAGCAAAATATTTGTACTAGGAAAATGCAGAAGCAGTTAGAGGGGGTAGTTTAATGGGTTAAAGTTCATGTTTCAAGTAGCTTCATTATACTCAAACCAAGGAAAATTTGCCTTTATTAGAATGACTCCATGCAATAAAATTTACTAACATGTTTGATAGAATATAAAAAGCCATACAAAACCAAGTCAAAAGACACAATTTCGTAGCACTAAGGGAGAGAGGGACCAAAACACATCCTTTCTTGACTTACACTACGTGTGAGGTATGCAAGATGGTTACAACATCTAGAATGGAGAATAAAAAGGGTACATTCACCAAGACAAATGAAGTTTGATAAAAGCATTGATACTGTGTTTTCCACTGTAGGAAACTGATGTATTCAAGGAATGCCAAGAAATACTGAAAGAACTTGCACAGAAAATCAGTCAACAGCTGGGGTAAGGCTTTACATTTAATTCCTGTTTTAAAGATAAGAACACAGAAATCAGTGTGGGCTAGTACCTAGTGAGACACTGGAAACAGCAAAGACAAAGCAGCATGTTGACCTGTTAGATGCTCATTGCCCTCCACTTTTAATCCTTACCAGTGATAGAATTTATATGTTGAAATGCAGAACAGCAATACTATTTAAAGATGACTAGGACTCAATTTTTCAAGCCACATTTAATCTGAAATCCTTTATTAAAATTAGGGACTACAAAATTATAACTTTGTTGTGCCGTTGTTGCTATGTTGCAATACTTGAGTGAAATTCAATGGATTTTTTTTTTCTTAATTATAAAGCTAAATCAAAGCAAATTTATTGACAACAGAAACAAGAATCTAAGCACATCCTAAGATATGAGAGGAGTTATGGAATGGAGTTACATTATTTTTATATATAATTATATATGTTTTTGTTATGGGAGGCTTTGGAATGTATTTTATTTCTTTGAGAGTACACAAATATTCTAGTGAATGCAAATTATATTGAAGTCTTTTCATTTAATTAGGCACAACTATTACGATAAAGTGTTCTGTTAACTACACACAACTGACACAAATCTTAAGTCATGCTTACGTGACATGATTCTCAAAAGAAACAGTTCAAGTACACACAGGCAAGGAAGATCAAATTGTACAGTTCTTGGTTACTACAGAAGAGGAGAGGAAGGCACAAGTAGATTTTATAAAAAATTGCTCTTATTAATGGCACTGCGGACTTGCATAGGTCATGACAGATACATTTCTGCAGTTCATCCCACTGTGGTAACATATTTGCTGTATGATCAGATGAAAGCTAAGTATGCATTTGGTGGCATGAACTGTGTGTATCTCTCCAGGCTGGCATTTCTGGTTCCTCTTGATTCAGTTCTGTCACCACATCAGCAGACTGATAGCAATGCCAATTGACAAGTGCAGCACGGAAACAGCAATGTTTGTAAGAATGTCACTGTGTCTGCTGTCTTCCTGATGCCCTGGAAAGCAAGACTTTGAGTCTATCTTTATCCACAGCACTCTTATTCTACCCAGGGACTGCCAGGCCTTCCCCCTTTTTGGAAGAGCTAAGGAGGATTAAGTTACTCCAAAAATTCTTGTGGGTAAGAAGGCAGAGATGGAGCAATGTATTTCCCTCCTTGTGATCAAGATGAGCAGAAATAATTAAACAGATCTTCCAGTGACACACAGTTTGAATCATGCTAAGTGAATGTCTCCCCAGACCAGGAGAGATGGGAAACCATAACCTTTTCTTTCTCCCTTACAGATGTGCTGGTATGAAGGTTATCACTGAAAACCTCCTCCCTTTTGCTCTCTGAGGCTTTCCTTCCTGCCACACAACAACTACATGTTGTTTTTCACCCTTGTGGCTGTCCGTCATCAAAATGACAAACGTTATTAAATCCGATGTGTTAAATACAATTCTTTGAGGAATACTCAGTAGGGGCTATAAGGGGTGAATGGTACAGCAGCTCCTTCTAGCTACAGTACAGCACCAGGCGTTTTTAAGACACTGTAAACGACAACTATAAATTGAAGCATTGTAGGAAGCTAATGAAAGCAATTAACTGTTTAGCACAGCAACAGCATTAAAGGTGGTTCAGAGTAAGTTAAGCTTTTCCCCTTTCACAGCATCAACAGAGATGCACAGCATGCCCTGGAGCAGGATCTTTCTGACAAGAACTCAGCCCATTTTATTGATGAGAAATGCTTTAACCTGAGGAACACATCAAACAGCATCAACTTTTACTATGGAGTGGAAAAAGCAGATAAGACGTGAGTATCAGTGACTGTTGTAGCCTTCCTCATCAGTGCTGGAGAGGGACATTTTACAAGGGCCTGTACTGACAAGACAAGGGGGATGGCTTTAAACTGAAAAAGAACAGATTTAGATTAGACATTAGGAAGAAGTTTTTCCTTGTGAGGGTGCTGAGTCACTGGCACAGGCTGCCCAGAGAAGCTGTGGCTGCCCCATCTCTGGCAGTGTTCAAGGCCAGGTTGGATGGGGCTTGGAGCAACCTGCTCTAGTGGAAGGTGTCCCTTCCCATGGCAGAGGGTTGGAACTGGATGAGCTTTAATGTCCCTTGGTATTCTGGTATTCTACTATTCTCTTTCCATGCTCCATGCTTTAAATAGGAGCTTGATTGCAGCACAAGTCTCTGAGAAGTGATTTAGAAAGAAGTGGCTTCTGTCTCTGTATGGCCCTGTTTTATCTTGGTGTGAAACCCTCCATCATCTTCAATTATTCTGTGCCTGCTAATGGCTGCCATTGTCGGAGGCCAGGCAGAAGCTGGCAGGCTGCAGCACCTACATCACTGATGTGGGGTGAACTGTAGTTTTCAACAAGGACCACTGTTCACAACCATTGCAGCTGACTCCTTGCCCTCAAACTCCTTTGTACAGGAAGCTCCCTCTGGTTTTGATTTAAGCTGTTTGGTGACCTTCAGGTTTCAAAACAACAAATAAAAATTCAGCTAAGGTGTGCAGTTGTGTGCAATGCGGTAAACAGCATGCAAGCACACACAAAGGACCATATATGGTTTCTACAAAAGTAGTTTGGGTTATTTGGAAATGAGTCCATCAAGCTATACTAAGATATGTATTAAATAGGATGATCAAAAAGATTTGATACAGCTTTAGCAGCACAGAGTGAACCAAAATTACTCAATTAAAATGTCCGAATTGCATGCAGTTTTAGAAGTGTTTAGTAGGAGTGGCTTCATCAAAAACTGTATCCAATCCAAAAGCGACAACAGAAGACAAGCAGCTTCCAATAGAGGGCAGTGTTTTTGTGCTAATGACTTAGTTCCCTTCTCCCTCTAACATGGCAGTATCTGAAAGGTGAGTGTGATTCGCAATCTCAAATTATAATGATTCTGTTTTGTCGGCTAAAGAAAAAAAAAACAAACACCCCAGTATTATTTATTTACTTATGTTCTGCTTTTCATTAAAAGCTCACTTCATGCACTCCTGAAATTCGGGCATACCTGAAGGAAACTTGGCAGGCGTTCTGCTGACTCTATTAACACCACCTACTTTTAGGATTAGCCATGAATAAAATTATTCTTGTCAGCTCTAGTAAAAAGCAGATTCATGTGGATAAGTTTCACAGCCTCCTCCTTTCTCACCAGCCATTATCCAAAGAAATGCCATTTTTCATTAACATTTTCCTGAAACCACTTGGCAGCCTGAGCCCTACCTGCAGCACTCCAGAGCAGAGCAGGTGTTTTCTGCCTCAGCAGAGCCAGCTGGATAAATTACAGTCTGAAAAAGCAATGTTGGAGAACAGCTTAAGTACAAAGTACTTCAGAAAGTCAACATGGAAACCTACTTGGAAATTTAATTCTTTACTGAGAAAAAGAAAATAATTCATCAGGCCATGGAGGGGGAAAAAATCACACAAAATCAAATACCCTGCAGAAAGTACACGGAGATTGTCTGGATCAGCAGCTGTAAGCACTGTCAGCTCAGGT